TGATTGCTGCCATTTTCAGTGTAAGTAGAGCAGCCTGCACTTAACTCAGTGCACGGATGTCTGCAAAAATAAATAATGTATGCAAGAAGAAGTGTTGAGGTAAAGATGACTGAGTGGTGTACACTGAACTTAAGAACCACCAGCACTTCTGAAAGTAAATATGCAAGGGAATATTTATTAAAACTAAGTGAATATGAACTTTTACACATATTCATGCAGCTATCAATGACAAAAGGTACTGCACTATGTATCACCATGCATTTTGGACATGATGGTATGATTGTGCCATGCTATAGCCACTGTACTTCAATTATATTCAATTCAAGTTTTTTTTGTATAGCGCTTTTCACGATACAACTCGTTGCAAAGCAGCTTTACAGAAAATTAAGTTTTTACAATATATTTAGTAGTAGCTTGTCAGTGGTGACTGTCAAATTGATGAACATATGGCAGAAATGTACGGTAAAATTCAGATAATGATGTAATCAAACAGACGATGAACACTATTAACAGCAATGATTATATGTTGCAATCAAACTTATAGCAAAATGTGGTAGTTCTGTATGTTGTTTCAGGGTTGGCATCATCTGAGGTCCTCTGAGGGGTTGGCATCATCTCTTCTCAGGTGTTCTGGATCCAGACTGAAGCTTGTGTAAATCCCCCGTGGCAAAAACAGAGAAACCAATAGAGACATAATTAGAGTAGCTGCTGTTCTAACCAAGCAAAAATTATTTGTTCAACCCAAGCTAAAGAATAATAATGTCCATTTGATGGGAAATATGATTTTCAAAAGACAAGTTGCTATCTAATATAACACCCAGATTTTTGACTGTAGAGGAAGTAACCGTACATCCGTCTAGTTGTAAATTGTAATCCAAGAGATTCTGCGTACTACTTTTTGGTCCAATAAGTAATATCTCAGCCGAATTCAATAAGAGAAAATGATTGGTCATCCAATCTTTAACATTTTTAATACACTCTGTTAGCTTAGATAATTTAGAAGTTTCATCTGGTCTTGTTGATATATATAGTTGAGTATCAACGGCATAACAGTGGAAACTAATTATGTGTTTTCTAATAATATTACCAAGGGGTAACATGTATATTGAAAATAGCAGAGGACCTAGGACAGATCCTTGTTGCACTGCATACTTTACTGGTGATAATTGAGATGACTCCCCATTTAAGTAAACAAAATGGTACTTCTATCAAATAAATTATTAGTAGTGTTTGCTAAAGCATTATTTCATTATTAGTTGCCACCCAGGGACTGTTCTAGACCTTTTAGCGGGCTTCAGACAAGGCCCACAAAACAAATATAGTAAATTACTAGATTTACTTTAGATAGATACAGTCAACCCTCCCCGTTAAGGGTGAAAGGATTCTCTCTGGTGCACCATACTCTCATTGAAATATTATGCTCAAGCGGAGCCCCTGAATGCCGATGTACTCTCATACCACCTTGGTGCCCCCAATTTCTACTTATTTATTCAATTATTTCCCTCCCTTTTCCTCTATAAACATTCTGCTCTGACCTTCTACAAAGAGGCTGTTCTACATATATATTAGGAAGTGCATAATAGAGATATACACATACTCAACACAATTGTTACACACACACCTTACATAACTACATGTACATCTAACTTTGTGTTCTACATGTTTTGTATTTTTGGTATCGTCTAACTATGTTTTGTCTTATGTACTGCTTTAAAAAGATAGATAGATAGATAGATAGATAGATAGATAGATAGATAGATAGATAGATAGATAGATAGATAGATAGATAGATAGATAGATAGATAGATAGATAGATAGATAGATAGATTGATTGATTGATTGATTGATTGATTGATTAGTTTGGGAACCATTTTTCCACTATTAACTAACTATTAACTATGACTTTAAACCTTTTTAAGGTTCAACCAGGGGGTCAAAACTTTTTGAATTTGAAGATCAGGGTAAATTTAGCTTATTTTGTCTTCTGGGAAACATGTAACTATCTTCTGTAGCCTCTGAAGAGCAGTACTAAATTTAAAAATATGATATTTAGGCAAAATAAGAAAAATGTTCACATCTCCATTCTGGCTCTTAATGCATGGTTTTTCCTTCTGGAGCATCGGTGAGCGTTTGAACCTTCTGTATTAGTTGCATATGAGTCCCTCAGTTGTCCTCAGTGTGAAAACAGATCTCAAAATCATACAGTCACTTTTGGAAAAGGTTCAAATATGTAGAAGATGCTGGAAAACCAAAGAATGTGCAGGAGCCGGGGATTTTTCTGAAGAACAGCAGGCAGTTGAACTGCTCAGGACCAACGCAGTACTCGTGAACAACTATCACAAAACAGAGAAACAGTAGTGGATCATCCAGGAAACGACACGCAGTATTAAGATGTAAACTTTTGAACGGGGTCAATTCAGTTATTCTTTTTTCTTGTGGACTATATATAAACATCTGTTATGTGAAATAGATTTTTTCAGGACAGTACTAAATTAAAAATAACATGCAATTTTCACGAGCTCTCTTATTTTGTTAAAATTAACATATTTGCATATTCTGCATACAAAACCATGACAAAAAATGTCAGTGTCTCAGTAACTTGTCATGTGTCCTTGAGCATCAATTACAGCTTGTTGTTACAGCATATATATATATGTGTGTGTGTGTGTGTGTATTTCTCTCTTCTCGCTCTATAGGCCCTATTTAGATTTGTATTTAATTTGATCTGTAACTTATTTCACAAATTTTTTACTTCTATCCCCCTTTTTTTGCACATAGTCCTGTACCACTTTTTGTGTATACTTTTTACATGCATTTTGCTGCACTAAATAAGTGTTTATGTGAGTACCTGAAGTGGAATTTCAAGCCCTCAAAGTGTCCGATTCTTAAACAAGCCATTTTTAGTACTTTGTTGTTAATCTCTACATGATTTATTCGTACATTTGATCGTTTATTTTTCACACCACTTTTTAGGTGAACTGATAAAAGCTGAAAGGTGATTAAAAATAGTGAAACACTTCAGTAATGGGGACCAAATTTTATCATAATGTAAAAAAAATAGTTATTTGTCAACAAACTAGTGTGCTTATTTTTAGTGCTTTTATTTCAGTGCTGTTGTCATCTTTGTGTAGTTTTAATATTATGTCTATATTGATAGGGATTCTGTTTTGATCCACCGTACCCTGTCTCTTGCTATTACATATGTAACAACATATTGTATGTGGCCAGCTGTGAGTCCCCTAGTAAAACAATTATATATTTAAAATACATTTATGTCATACTAAATATAGTTCAAATCTATTAGCATATTTACTAACATATCGCTTGAGACTTACTGATATAAAAATTACAATTAAACTTTATTTGGCGTACCACTTGTGCACAAAGCACATTTCTTAATAGTAAGTCTAAAATGTGTTTTAATGCCACTTTTGTTGAGGATTGTATCTTTGAATAATATCAGCCTTTAAATACAAAATAGTTCAAGTGTACCTGAAGTATACTTGCAATAGTTTAGCACAATCATATATACTTCAGTATATCTTTAGTTGGACTTCAGCGCTACTTCCTCACAATTAAAGTGCATTAAGCTCAAAATTAGTTGTTCCAATTTAGCAGACTTTAAGTATACCAGTACAGTTGCAGGGTATTTTATTAAGTACTTAAATGTGAAAATGTATTTGTAGTATACTTGGCATGAAATAAATGTATTTCAAATACATTTAAGTATATTTGTTTTTCACTAGGGTCAGCATGGCCCACAGCTGTTTTACAAATAACACAGCCGACTTTCTCAGCAACCCAGAAGCACCTAGCAAGCATTCCCTCGAAACACTCAAGCTTTGTGATTTGACATTCTGCACAGTCAAGCAAGGCTCACAGTTTCTGAAATGTAATTCATTGTCTCTGAAACATGTTTGATTTGTTGATTTCTGTCTCTCCAGATGACTGCGCCTCCATCCTGCTGGCTTGCCTGTACTGCCGCTTCTGTGACGTTATGGCCCTGCTTCCTGATGCTTGTGAGAGAGCGTTTGGCCGCTGCTTCCCCTCTTACAAGTATTACAACACCTCGGATGAGCCGTCCAAAGGAAAAGACTGCTGCAGCTGCAACGTGGATTTTGACTGTGGTTTCATGAACTCCTGTCAGGAGGCCAGCGAGCTGATAGAGCTGGCGATGGAGATATCTGAGGTCTGCTACCGCTGAGAGCCTCTCCACTATCTGGAGATCAGAGCAAATCGGTGCTTGATTCCCGACTCCACATGGTGCGCGTTTCTAAATGACTCGGAGTTACAGTTATTCAGTGTCACTAAAGACATGTGTGATTTCATGCTGGAGAAACCAGAGTTAATGTCACTTCTTGTTTTAGGCAACAAAAATAAAGCATGCGACTGCATTTTCAGGACGAGATCATCATTTTTTATGGAGATATCTGAGGTCTGCTACCGCTGAGAGCCTCTCCACTATCTGGAGATCAGAGCAAATCATCCAGGATGGAGATTCTCCATCGGTGCTTGATTCCCGACTCCACATGGTGCGTGTTTCTAAATGACTCGGAGTTACAGTTATTCAGTGTCACTAAAGACATGTGTGATTTCATGCTGGAGAAACCAGAGTTAATGTCACTTCTTGTTTTAGGCAACAAAAATAAAGCATGCGACTGCATTTTCAGGACGAGATCATCATTTTTATCATTCCATTATACAGATCCATCTATTCTCCAAGCCACTTGTCCTACTGTAGGGTCAAGGGGATGATGGCGCCTATCCCAGCGTCCCAGAAACACCTTGCCCTGTCCAATGGATAGTCCACACATCCATTCATTGGCCCAACCTGCAGAGGAAACCAGGCACCACACCAACACCTGGAGAACATGGGAAAATCGAGAGGCTTCCAGGCTGAGCCGGGACTCAACCAATGCTGCCCATTAAGCAGTCACCATGCATCCTCCATTCAGATCTTTTACTGCAACTCTATTTATAGTTTCCCTACAGTTCCACCCTCCACCGTCACCTCAGCAGTGGCTTCAGTTACTGTTATACGCTTGGCACGAGTCGGCAAGTGGCCAACTTTCGCATTTCAACTTCAATATGTCTCGTGCTTCAGAAATCAGTGACGGAGTCTGTGATCATGTGACTGAATTCAGATTGGTGCATGCAGACTGTACGTGGAGCAGACAGACCGCAGACAGTCAGCGTGTCGAGGGACGACCGTCAGAAGCCAGGATGTGAGTATATTACCTAGATTTACCACTCTGATGTCACTCTAACATCATAGAGGGAGCTTTGTTACTGTTTCAGGCTGGACATTCTGGGATAAAACTTGGCGGAATGAAACTTTAGAATTTTTGCATTACAAAATGCAGTCAATAAAATCATATTTCATCACTTTTATCTTTCAGTAATCGGTTAACCTTAAAATCATGAGTGAGTTGTTTACTTCATGTCGCAGTGCTCTTCTAATTTAAGAACTAACCTTACAGTTGGAAAGCATGAGGTCAAGTTCACAGTGTGTGTATTTTGGGTGAGTGGGGGAAAGTGTCTGTAGTCTTTAATAGACACTATTCTCTGATCTTACAAAAAATGGTACGGGCATGGTACATTAATATAGGCTATACACCACAATTTTCCAGGGTATTTCAAGGTATTACAAAAGAATGACATGGCACCACTATGGTACTATTTCATAGAACATGGTATTGTACCATTGTTTTGCCAGTCTTTTTGGACATGTCAGAAATGGTACATGTAAAAAAAAATAAAAAAAAAGACAAGACACTGGCAAAACATATGTCCAAACAAAATGGCACCACAATTTTCCAGGGTATTTCAAGGTATTACAAAAGAATGACATGGCACCACTATGGTACTATTTCATAGAACATGGTATTGTACCATTGTTTTGCCAGTCTTTTTGGACATGTCAGAAATGGTACATGTAAAAAAAAATAAAAAATAAAAAAAAGACAAGACACTGGCAAAACATATGTCCAAACAAAATGGTATTACCAAAAATAAATGTGATTTTACCTTGGTAAATTCCCCCCAAACCTGGTAAAACAGCAGCAAATGTGCCAAAAAATATGTATACAATGTTTTTTTAAACATACCTTGTGAAAAAGTAGTGTTATTGATGTGCACTTATGTACTTCAAATCTTAAAAGTATATTTAAAAAACTGTACATGCAGATAATATAATATTAATGAAATAAAAGGCCTCTTAAATGTACTTAAGAGAGTTTCTTAGCACACTTAAGTACACTTTGTAGTAATATCAAATTAAAGGTTTTGTGTTTTAAAAAAGTGCACTTTGTATTAATATCAAATTAAAGGTTTTATGTTTTTAAATATTTTGTTGAAGTACACTTATTTACACTAGTGCACTAGCACGTGAATTACATGCACATGTAAAATGAATTAATAATCTGAATAATGCATTAATACTTTTAATTGTGTGTTATGTGATATTACATTTAAAGTTCATATATTTTGCAACTTCATCACAAATGTGTAATTACAAATATATTTAAATGCATGACATATACTGTAAAATAAAGAGCAACTGCAATGTTTGAGCATTTACAATGTACATACTTAAGAAAGTACTGGCTAAGGTAACTACACAGGAAAAAAATAGGTTTAGGGTTAGTACCAAGTTATTACCCAGTTATTGTAATTACTATAATAAGTACAACGTATGCTGAAATGTACTTCTTAGTGCTTTTGTTGGACATTCAGCTTCTACTGAAATACTGAATGAAGTATGGTTAATTTGTCCCCACAGTTATGAGTCTTCATCAGAAGATGGAGTCACATGGACAGTGGTCAGTCCTATCGTCTTCACCTATCGAGTCATTCAGTGTGAGAGTCTTCTGGATGCAAGCAATGACACCTTACTGTTTGGCCATATCTCCAGCCCTACGGAGCTCCAGGCCCTTAAGACCAACAGTAAAGTAATGAAGCGATTCATTGTGATTGATGAGACTGTTAATGATCTATACGGCTCCCAGGTGGCAGCATATTTCAAAGCGAGAGGGGTGACCTACAAGATCCTTCCCTTACCCACAACTGAGGAGAACAAGTCCATGACCCTGGTGACCAGAATCTTGGAGGAAGTCCATAAGTTTGGGATTGACCGCCGTGCGGAGCCCATTATCGCTATCGGTGGCGGTGTTTGTCTGGATATCACGGGTCTCGCTGCATCACTGTATCGCAGACGTACTCCGTATATCCGTGTCCCTACTACTCTGCTGGCTTACATTGATGCCAGTGTGGGGGCAAAGACTGGGGTCAATTTTGCCAATGGTAAAAATAAGCTAGGGTCATACATCCCACCCGTGGCAGCGTTCCTGGACAGGAGTTTCCTCTGCACTCTGCCACGCCGCCATGTTTCTAATGGAATGGCCGAAATGCTGAAGGTACATATACTGCATGGATGACAATACAATACTGGACAGTTTCTCAAAAGATGTTCGCATTTTACACATCTAAAACAACTTACATTGCATTTTATGGTTCATGCGCTGACTTGCACTGAACGAAGTGCACTTAATTGTATTTAATGTGCACTAGTAGTGTACTTCAAATCTTAAGTGTACTTAAATAGAGTTCACTTTCTTAAGCACACTTTAAAAATGGACACTTTGTCTGTAGTAAAGTACATTTTAAACCAGTTTTAATAATCATAATAATCTTTTAATTAATTGTGCTTTAAAGAAGTAGACTTATTTTGATGTGTTGACTAACATACTGTAACTCTAGATGCATAAATGCATACACTCTGAAAGTTCAATTATGAATGCTGATTGGTGGAAATATATATTAAAATATGTGTTTATTTAAGATTAAAGGGATAGTTCACCTTCAGTTGGTCCCCATTGACATGCATGTTTCCCCCCATACTATGGAAGTCAATGGGGACCAACTGAAGGTGAACTATCCCCTTAAAGCTAAAATATTGACTTTAAAGTATTTTTGTCTTTTTTTAAAGTGTTTTTATTTTCTTTAAATTTAGTCTATATGTTATATTTAGTACCTTTGGCACAAATTGAATGACATATCAGTAATGCCTTAAATAAATAAATAGATTAACAAACAAATAAATAAATAGGATTTTAAAATCTTAAAAGAAATTAGAAAGAAATTTTAAATAAATAATTATTTTATTTAGCAAGGATGCATTCAGTCGATTAATAGTGACCATCAAGACATTTATACATTTGTGAAAGTGAGAGATATAGTGAAAGATTTCTGTTTCATATAATTGCTGCTAATCTGAACTTTCTATTAATCAAATCAAGTCCTAAAAAAGCCACAGTTTGCACAAGCAAATAAACTGGAAAAATTATTTTCTGCATTAACAAACCAACATCTTAATAAACCAACTTCTGAAGGATCACGTGGCACTGAAGACTGCAGTAATGATGCTGAAAATTCACAGGAATAAACTACATTTTAGAATATATTTTCATATAGAAAACAGCTACTTTAAATTGTAATATTTTACAATATTACTGTTTTTACTGTATTTTTTTTTTTAATCAAATAGCCTTGCAGACTTATTTGAAAAACACTTAAAATTCATACCAAATCCAGACTTTTGAACATTATTGTGAAGTCTAATTGAGGTCTTGTGTCACCAATACTAGTGATCCCCTACAGATGGCGCTGATGAAACACAGAGGACTCTTTGAACTTTTGGAGAAGGATGGCAGACATTTGTTGGACTCTAGTTTCCAACCATCGAGGAGAATGCCAGAAAATATGCATGCGGATGCAGCGAGTGTGTCCACGAGACTGGCCATTGAAACCATGCTGGAGGAACTTGCTCCAAACCTGTGGGAGGACGACCTGGACCGGCTGGTGGACTTTGGCCATATCATCAGTCCAGAGCTTGAAATGGTGCTGCATATTAGGACTCAAACTAAAACTGCACACTGTGTGTCAGTCTTGAATTACTCTAACTTGAGTCACTCTTTTCTTTGATACAGAAAATACTTCCTGCGCTTCTGCATGGAGAGGCGGTGAACATTGACATGGCTTTCATGGTCTATGTGGCTCACGAAAGGGGCTTTCTGACAGAAGAGGAGAAAAGACGTATCATTGTGTGTATGCGGAGCCTAGATCTTCCTGTGTGGCATTCAGACTGCACTCTGGATCTAGTACTGAAGTCCCTTACTGAACGACTCAAGCACTCAGGAGGATTTCTGAGAATGCCTCTACCCACAGCGCTGGGAAAAGCAAGTATGTGAAATATAAAAAAACTATACTTTTGCCCTCAAACATTAAAAGTGTATTCAGTAGTTTGGTGCAAAATCCAACAATTTTACACGTTAGGAAATCGTGTTTTTGTAAAGAGTCATCTGAATGGTGTATAATGAAATTAAGAATGTACTAATAATAGTTTTCTATAAAAAGTGTCTACCACCATACACCAAAACAGACAGTGACAAAAAAAATTAAATAAAAAATGAGCGTAAACATACACAGAGCTTGAAATGGTGCTGCATATTAGGACTCAAACTAAAACTGCACACTGTGTGTCAGTCTTGAATTACTCTAACTTGAGTCACTCTTTTCTTTGATACAGAAAATACTTCCTGCGCTTCTGCATGGAGAGGCGGTGAACATTGACATGGCTTTCATGGTCTATGTGGCTCACGAAAGGGGCTTTCTGACAGAAGAGGAGAAAAGACGTATCATTGTGTGTATGCGGAGCCTAGATCTTCCTGTGTGGCATTCAGACTGCACTCTGGATCTAGTACTGAAGTCCCTTACTGAACGACTCAAGCACTCAGGAGGATTTCTGAGAATGCCTCTACCCACAGCGCTGGGAAAAGCAAGTATGTGAAATATAAAAAGAACTATACTTTTGCCCTCAAACATTAAAAGTGTATTCAGTAGTTTGGTGCAAAATCCAACAATTTTACACGTTAGGAAATCGTGTTTTTGTAAAGAGTCATCTGAATGGTGTATAATGAAATTAAGAATGTACTAATAATAGTTTTCTATAAAAAGTGTCTACCACCATACACCAAAACAGACTGACAAAAAAAATTAAATAAAAAATTAGCGTAAACATACACGCGTTGAAACGATTTAAAGGGGTCATGAACTGAGCAATCAAATTTCCCTTGATCTTTTGACATATAAGAGGTCATTGTGCTATAAAAACATCCTGTAAGTTTCAGAAATCAAAACTTTCTCAGTAGTCTAAAAACAGCTCTGCCAAAACAACAGCTTTTGGAATGTTTTACTCTATGATGTAAGCCTGCAACCATTAGCTGAAAAAGCGTAACGGCTAAAGCTAACGCTTCCGGTCTGGCCCGATTCTACATCCCTGCCTGTTTACCCCCGCCCCCCGATTCTACATCACTGCCTGTTTAACCCCGCCCACCGATTCTACATCACTGCCTGTTTAGCCCCAACAACTGTTTAGCCCCACCCACCGATTCTATATCACTGCCTGTTTAGCACCACCCACAGATTCTACATCACTGCCTGTTTAGCCCCGACAACCGATTAGCCCCACCCACCGATTCTACATCACTGCCTGTTTAGCCCCGACAACCGATTAGCCCCACCCACCGATTCTACATCACTGCCTGTTTAGCCCCGACAACCGATTAGCCCCACCCACCGATTCTACATCACTGCCTGTTTAGCCCCGACAACCGATTAGCCCCACCCACCGATTCTACATCACTGCCTGTTTAGCCCCGACAACCGATTAGCCCCACCCACCGATTCTACATCACTGCCTGTTTAGCCCCGACAACCGATTAGCCCCACCCACCGATTCTACATCACTGCCTGTTTAGCCCCGACAACCGATTAGCCCCACCCACCGATTCTACATCACTGCCTGTTTAGCCCCGACAACCGATTAGCCCCACCCACCGATTCTACATCACTGCCTGTTTAGCCCCGACAACCGATTAGCCCCACCCACCGATTCTACATCACTGCCTGTTTAGCCCCGACAACCGATTAGCCCCACCCACCGATTCTACATCACTGCCTGTTTAGCCCCGACAACCGATTAGCCCCACCCACCGATTCTACATCACTGCCTGTTTAGCCCCGACAACCGATTAGCCCCACCCACCGATTCTACATCACTGCCTGTTTAGCCCCGACAACCGATTAGCCCCACCCACCGATTCTACATCACTGCCTGTTTAGCCCCGACAACCGATTAGCCCCACCCACCGATTCTACATCACTGCCTGTTTAGCCCCGACAACCGATTAGCCCCACCCACCGATTCTACATCACTGCCTGTTTAGCCCCGACAACCGATTAGCCCCACCCACCGATTCTACATCACTGCCTGTTTAGCCCCGACAACCGATTAGCCCCACCCACCGATTCTACATCACTGCCTGTTTAGCCCCGACAACCGATTAGCCCCACCCACCGATTCTACATCACTGCCTGTTTAGCCCCGACAACCGATTAGCCCCACCCACCGATTCTACATCACTGCCTGTTTAGCCCCGACAACCGATTAGCCCCACCCACCGATTCTACATCACTGCCTGTTTAGCCCCGACAACCGATTAGCCCCACCCACCGATTCTACATCACTGCCTGTTTAGCCCCGACAACCGATTAGCCCCACCCACCGATTCTACATCACTGCCTGTTTAGCCCCGACAACCGATTAGCCCCACCCACCGATTCTACATCACTGCCTGTTTAGCCCCGACAACCGATTAGCCCCACCCACCGATTCTACATCACTGCCTGTTTAGCCCCGACAACCGATTAGCCCCACCCACCGATTCTACATCACTGCCTGTTTAGCCCCGACAACCGATTAGCCCCACCCACCGATTCTACATCACTGCCTGTTTAGCCCCGACAACCGATTAGCCCCACCCACCGATTCTACATCACTGCCTGTTTAGCCCCGACAACCGATTAGCCCCACCCACCGATTCTACATCACTGCCTGTTTAGCCCCGACAACCGATTAGCCCCACCCACCGATTCTACATCACTGCCTGTTTAGCCCCGACAACCGATTAGCCCCACCCACCGATTCTACATCACTGCCTGTTTAGCCCCGACAACCGATTAGCCCCACCCACCGATTCTACATCACTGCCTGTTTAGCCCCGACAACCGATTAGCCCCACCCACCGATTCTACATCACTGCCTGTTTAGCCCCGACAACCGATTAGCCCCACCCACCGATTCTACATCACTGCCTGTTTAGCCCCGACAACCGATTAGCCCCACCCACCGATTCTACATCACTGCCTGTTTAGCCCCGCCCACCGATTCGCACGTGTACTTTAAATACTGAGAGAGGCCAATGCAGGTCTATGTAGAAACCAAACAATAAAGATGCTCTGAGGACAAGATGCAGTGCCAAGTTGTGGAAAAACAGTCTTTCCATTGCCTTACTTCTGATCCTAACATTAGGAAAAAGTGGATTAACTTTATTTTTAATGAAGATCCAGACTGTGTCAGTAAGAACTTGGTCAGAAAATAGCCTATTACTTCTAAATTGTTTTTTTTTTATGTAAACATCTTGATAACATTATGTGGACCTCAGAGAACAGTACAAAATAATAATAATAAAAAGGCAGTTCATTACCCCATTATCGACAGAAAATGCTATTAGTAATGCACATATTACTTATTCTTTGTTGGACATGTAAAGGAATTAATCTTGGTGTAAACCACTCTTTATAGGTCTCCATCCACGATAGATATAAGTGCACCACTGTGAGAATACATAGCAATGCTAACGCTAGCTAAAAAACTACTGAATGCACCATTATTGCAGAATGATAAAGATAGCTATTACTGAAAGTTTTAGCTAGAAGCCTACATATCCATTGAAATCCATTACATATTTTTACAATTTCCGTTTTTTCCCCTGCCAAAGTTCTGTGTTCTCTATTTACATTTTTTCCTGATTCCGTTTTAATGGTTTATTCAAATTTTAATAATAAAAAGGATGTCTGATAAATGTATTACTTTAATACATTAATTTATTCATCTTAATAATAGTGCCCTAGTGTTTAATGCTTTTCAGAACATTTTCTGGGGTCTTTATGATTCAATACAAATGTATTATCAAAAATGGTGGTTATCAAATGTATAAAACAATTGAATCCTTTAAAATATAATGAAATGAAATTTCAACAGCACCATGCTGAAGCAACGAAGCTGCGGCGCCTATCCACACAGAAAACGCATACTTCCTATTAAATTGGCAGTTTTTTGTTTTTTTTTGGTTTATTATTCACAGACACTAGTCCATCATCACAATTCGATTAAGTGTACTGACCTACCTTTGATTTATTCATCCAAAATTTGCCAAGGTTCAAAGTAGTAAGACGTAACGATCCTTCATTTGCTGAAATCGAGTTTGAATCAAGCTCTGAACTGCTGATTCGAAACTAAAGATTTGTAAACGTTTCGAAGCTTCATGAAGCCGTGTTTCAAAAACACTAATAAGTACACCATTCTGCAAGCATTCAAAAGTAGCCATCACTTATTGACTTAACTGTGCTTAATTATATGCTAACTTTATGCAACTTGCATTTAGATGAGTGGGGATGCTGACAGATTATTCCAGGTATTCCAGCTTCACAGCTAAACGAAAACCGGCTGCACTCTTAAAAATAAAACTTCCATGAGGGGGGTTTCACAGAGATGCCATAGCTAGAAGAAACATTTTTGGTTCCCCAAAGAACATTTCAGTGTACAGTTCTTAAAAGAAACAACATTTAAATAATCTAAAGACCCTTTTCCACTATAAAGAACCTTTTGGGGAATGAAGAGGTTCCGTAGATGTTAAAGGTTCTTCATGGAACTAAAGATGCCAGTAAAGAACCTTTATTTTTAAGAGTTTAGTCCAACTTTAAGTGCTCAGGGCACATTTTAGCAAACACCGTAAGACTGTGACATACTGTAGTTTGTTTCATTTCCTTCAGTCTGTCTTTTTCATACCCCGCAGGAATCTTCAATGACACAGAAGAGAGCATTGTGTGCCAAGCGTTCAAGAAATGGTGTGATGAACAGTGTGAAACCACCATGAAACTAGAATAACACACCACAGGAAATGTTGAGTCTGATTATATTCCTGAACCAAGAAAAACATCTGTGCTGCAAAAAGAAACACATCAAATCATGAATGAAAACCTCCAGAAATTGTGAAAACCACTTTAAAAATAAAACTTCCATGAGGGGGGTTTCACAGAGATGCCATAGCTAGAAGAAACATTTTTGGTTCCCCAAAGAACATTTCAGTGTACAGTTCTTAAAAGAAACAACATTTAAATAATCTAAAGACCCTTTTCCACTATAAAGAACCTTTTGGGGAATGAAGAGGTTCCGTAGATGTTAAAGGTTCTTCATGGAACTAAAGATGCCAGTAAAGAACCTTTATTTTTAAGAGTTTAGTCCAACTTTAAGTGCTCAGGGCACATTTTAGCAAACACCGTAAGACTGTGACATACTGTAGTTTGTTTCATTTCCTTCAGTCTGTCTTTTTCATACCCCGCAGGAATCTTCAATGACACAGAAGAGAGCATTGTGTGCCAAGCGTTCAAGAAATGGTGTGATGAACAGTGTGAAACCACCATGAAACCAGAATAACACAAATGTTGAGTCTGATTATATTCCTGAACCAAGAAAAACATCTGTGCTGCAAAAAGAAACACATCAAATCATGAATGAAAACCTCCAGAAATTGTGAAAACCACTCAGTTTTATTTCAACGTCTGTAACATTTTCATTCACAATACACTTGACAAGCTTTAAAACCCAACAATGAAATGCTACGTTCCTTATAAAGCTCACATAAAGAGTGAAAGGTGACTTTCCCAACAGGTTTAAAGTGGGCTGGCTTCCAGCACTGAATTCATAGGAAGTTAATGCTTTATAAAGAAATTCAACCAAAAAAAAAAATCAACATTACAAGCTATCTTAAGTCCTTTCTTAAATAATGTTTGGTTAAGCTTCAAAAATATAAAACAAAAGTATATTAACAAAACGAAAGCCATCTCTAGCCAAGACACTTCTATAAAAGACCGACTGTGTTTGTTATTAAAAGGCGTTTAGTTGAAGTTCGACGGAAGCCTGTTTTGAAGGCACCTTTCATTGATGTCACTGATACGTATGCATTCATACAGGAGCCTTGTGCTTTACCTGTTACCTGATTGTCTGAATTATTGCTCAGAAAAAAATTGCAACAGCCAGTTTTGCTATAAATCCACAACGAGATACATAACAGTTTCACTGCATATTTAGACTCCACTTGGAATTTGGCAACATTTTAGTAGTCAACACTGCGTAACATCACATTCAGAGGATGACTTTCAGTAGTTTCTGTCTATAAGGGAAGGAGATTATGTAATACACTATTCTTGAAAGTTTTGTAGTGCTTCAAGACACTTCAGCGTTAAGCCAGAATACAATACAATCTTGATCAAACCCTGCGGGTCAGTATTAACTAGGTTTGGTGGTCCTACTGAGAGATCATCCCCTCTACTTCAACCGAGGACCGAACCGGTTAGGTTCCACAGTCTAAGACTAAGTCTAAAATCACACATATAGAATAGAACATTTCATTTAAAGGAATAGTTCATACAAAATTGAAAATTAGGAACATCGTCGTCTTACTCTCACGTAGCGCTAAACCCATGTACTGTACATTTTTACAAATGTAGTTTTTATTTTATTTTTTTTCCTTTTTGGAAATTGGCAGTCCCTGTTGGAAGCCTGTTTCAGCATGGAATAAAAATAAATAGGTAATTGTGACTCTCGCAATTCAGATTTTTTCCCCCCCTCAGAATTAAATTATTTTTTTAAGTAAAAAAAATACGTTATTTTAAATTTTGCGGCAGAAACAAACAAACTGAATTTAAAGATGTAAACTCACAAAACTGAGAACAAAAGTCCAAATTGTAAGATAAAATGTTGCAATTATTGAATTGCGAGACAAAAAAAATTGCAATTATTTTTGCAATTGCAATTTATTTTTAACAATTTTTTATTCAGGAACAAAAACAGAAATGAAAGACAAACTCTCAATTCTGAGAAGCAAACTCAGAATTGTGAGATATAAACTCGCAAAGTCTGTTGCGACAAAGAAATTTGTTTTTAGATCTAAGTTTATATTTAGCATTTCTAACCATTTTTCTAAAAATTATGAGTTTATATCTAAAAGTTATGTTTCTTTCTGATCTCTGAATTGCAAGAAAACAAGTTAGAATTGTAGGAAATGAAGTTACGTTTTTAATTATTATTTTTAATTTTGTGGTGGAAACAGGCATCCATGAGTCCCAGTCCCCATTCGCTTTCAATGTATGGAAAAGAGAAGCATGAATTCTCTGCTAAATATCTCTTTCTGTGTTCCACCATAGAAATAAAGTCATTCGTGTTTGGAACGACATAAGGATGAGTGACTGATGACAGAAAGTTTTGGGAGAACTATTGCTTTAAGTGACAGATTTGTAATGTAAGGCACTTTACAGTGGTCTGACTATGTTACCTACGCTAAACACTTACAACATCTTTCCATTGATTTCTCAACTGAAAGTTACCTTTGCATAGTTCTATGAAACAACACAACAGTTGCACCTACATGATCAAAATAGTGGCACAGATTGGATGCTACTCAAAGGCAAACATCAGTACATCTGAGCTGAGCACAGTAGAAATATACAGTAACAGTACAGCTTATTATTACAAACATAGTCAGTCATTTTACACCATGTAAGAATTAAAAAACCCAAGTGTTAGAATAAAATATAAAATATTTCTTTTTTTTAATCTTCATCATATTATCATTCTTCCAATGTTTTTGCCATCAATATATAAAAAATCCCAGATCTTTCTCTTTAAGATTTAATAAAAATTCTTTTTATTTAAAAAAAATGACCTGGGACAGTGTAATTAAAATGTATATGCATATTAAAACAGAAATGAATCAAAAAGGGTAATAAATTGGAATTTGAAGTTTGAATTATTATGACTATTCTTTAGTCATCAAATATGTTTTAAGAAATGATTTCACATTCTTATGGATTATGTCAAGCTATGCACTGTGTTAAAATGCATCCTCAGGGTATCTTAAGAAATGCATGAGGTGAAATACATTTGCATAACTATACAGGCACTGCATATAACCACAAGAAGAGTTTTTGAAGGCTTTCAGCAGAGTTCAAACTGAATATTGCTTATTGCTTGGCACATTCCACAGGACATCTGGAAATCTGTTGGATTTTCCAAAAGCTGTGTGCAAACTGTTCTTCCACATGTGCATTTCTTCAGCCTCTGGGTCTAAAGAGTATTCCACAAATCCACTGCGCTACGTGAAATTCTCCTGGACCAGAAACATTAATACTGAGAGAATATTGCCATTGATTAATAATGGAATGAAATAATTTAAGGTCAGCTGTTTCAGATCAGCCTCATAGCAAACATACTTTGTCCATCTATTGGTTGTGTGCGTTTTCATCTAAAAGATACGATTTGTAGAGCATTTGCATTCAACAGAAATGTTCACAACATATATGAATTAGTTACGATTAATGTAGCTATGCTAAGGAAGCATTTCACCCAAAAATGAAAAAAAAAAAGATCATTTACTTTTACTTTTTACAATGAGAAACCATATAAACTTTCATTTGGCCCCTTCATTCAAATGCTTGTTTCACGCATGCTCATATCAGCGGCTCATCGGTCTTCAGTTGAACTGTTGGAGGAACTGGCGCACTGAATCAGTTCATTCATCATAGATACGCGCTGCTATTTTGGCTCATTTCGAGTCGGAGTGACTGTTGGACATTTGAAAGTGAGTTTTGATTGAGTAACTTGTAAATCTGTGCTGCTTGAGCCATGAACTGTTTCAGACGGTTCAGTCTGATTTGGTGAATTGGTTCAACTAGTTCACTAAAAAGAATCAGTTCAAAATAATGATTCATTCACGAACCGAACATCACAGACTGATTGTTTCGCTTCATAAGACCTCGATATATCGTCAGGAGCCATGGGTATTAATTTTGTGTTGCCTGAGACGCTTTTTCGACTTTCAAAGTGACGGTAGCCCTTGGCTTGCATTTTATGAATCACCAAGGACCACGGTTTCCGCTAAAAATCTTCTTTGCTGTTCTACTGAAGAAAAAAGTCACCTACATATTGGATGACCTGAGCAGATTTTCATTTTTGGGTGAACTATTCCTTTAAACATCAACTGTCTGTCACTTGATATCTACACGTTAAATGGAAAGCATTGTGCTTAAGTCATTCCTTTACAAGGATATATAAAAAAAGATAAATATTCTTCTAAACTGTGCGCAAACACGCTACTGTACAACCAAAGAAATCAGCTTTCAAGTGCACTTTTATATTATCCCAAAGTTGATTCAATTGTACTGTAATACACATATGTGAAGTTACACAAATCAATCTTTTTACGATACTGACCTTGATTATTTTGATGTTATGAAATTTGGGTAGACGAAACTGGAATACGGTTAAAATACGATAAAATAAAACGAGTGTAAACATAAAAATAATATCATTTTGCACTTGACAAAACAGGCCGTGCTTCTTCCTTAGCAGTCAATGGTGTTACCGGAAAAACGTGACAATGACCAGCGGCCCTGAACAGCCAAACAAAGGATTCCTTGCACTAACAAACATGCTCGTTCTCCTCCATGTTCACGCTGTCCTTACAGCTGCTTTCGGTCGAGGCTCTGGACGAGACGGAGGTGAGGAGTGGGTTGCTCGTTGCTATAGATGACAATGTGTCGTCCATCAGGATGTCGTCGAGTTTAGCGCCATGTGCCTTTGAGACAAGACCATAAGCATCGGTGGAATTGCTAGAGTCGTTAAAGGTGATTGTGCCGTCGTTTAAGTCTAGGGTGCTGGCGCGGCCCATGTCGGGGCAGGACGGGTGTGCGTGAGGGTACATGTCCCGGGAGCAGTCGCACAGGACCGGCTCCTGTTTGATGGTCCGGGCTGCTAGCTCTGATGAGCAGAGTGTAGACGAGACGACGGCCAGTCCGTGAGCACGAGCCTGGATTTCCAGCTCCTGGATTAGCATTCAACCGATAGACAACAAAGCAATAACTGAAACATATACTGTACGAACCTACAAATTGCCACTTTTCTGGATGTATCTAGATTCAAATATATCATTTAAATCTAGAAAATGTAAAAAAATATAAATTAATAAAATGATTAAATATTTAAAATATAACACTAGGGGCCAGTTTTACTAGCAGCTTGCGCCAGCGCAAACAGTCTTTTGGCGTTAAAATGGTACTGTCAGGATTTACTAAAGACGCGCAGTGACGAATTAGCACTGAAAAGGCGTGGACAGTTATTTTTGCACTTGACCTGATTGAATATGCATTTCTAGGAGTTTCCCTTTCAGATGCAAAATTTATGGGAGGAGAGTATTTAAATGAATCACGCAATGCGTTTTACTAACGTTTGCGCTCGTCAAATTACTGGAATTTGCGCCATTATTTAACGCCCAATAAAAGCATGTCTAGGAGGAGGCACCGCAGAGAGCGCGTGGTAGAAGGGAGAGGATTTTTCCACATGTATGAATTTATTTGGAAAGAACACATTATGCGAACATATCGTTTGCCAAGCCATGTTATTTTTAATTTGCTTCAGGAAATAAAAGACGATTTGGAACCGAGTCACACAATACCAGCTCTATCTGAACTTCCTGCAACCCTTCATTTTTTGGCCTGCGGTTCTTTTCAGCGTACTGTGGCTTATTTCTTTCTTTATTCTTTATTTGCGACTACGCTAATTTGCGCTGCGCTTGGTATATTGCGTCGGTCGATATGTAAATGAGATGTTGCGTCTGTGTTCTTTAATTTGCGTGTTGTTAGTAAATCACTTGCAGAAATTTCCACACCCATCGCCGCTGTTTTGGAATTGCTTTGTTTAGTAAAACTGGCCCTTAATTAAATATAAACATTAAAATATAGAACAAACTACAACCAAAAGTGACCCTCAGTCCTAAAAATGTGGTTAGAGAACAAATTATTTTGTGTTACTAACCCAAAGCACTGCATTATTTCAAGTTCAAGCCCATCACCGTGAGTTTGGAATTCATATACTTATCTATTAAAGTAAACAATAACACTACCTGTACAATATCTGCAGTACATTTTTGCAGTTTTACTAAGCTGGTGTGCCTTTGGTATCAGCCATAACTGAAAGAATGAATATGTTTTGGGTTGAAGGTCATTGCAAAAATGTCTAATATTGATGGCTAATACAAATTGGCTAATAATCCTTGTGCCTTTTTAAAATAATGTAAACACAAAAGAAGATATTTTGAAGATAGCACATTATTTATACCCATTGACTAGTATGGGGAAAAACTATGAAAGTCAACGGCTTAACTGTTTGGTTACAAACATTCCAAAATGTCTAATATTGATGGCTAATACAAATTGGCTAATAATCCTTGTGCCTTTTTAAAATAATGTTAAACACAAAAGAAGATATTTTGAAGATAGCACATTATTTATACCCATTGACTAGTATGGGGAAAAACTATGAAAGTCAACGGCTTAACTGTTTGGTTACAAACATTCCTCAAAATATCTTCTTTTGTGTTCAACAGCTAAAAGAAACTCATACAGGTTTGGAACAACTTGAAGGGTTAGTAAATGATGAGAGGATTTAGTTTTTTGTGTGAACTGGCCCTTAAATCTATTCTATTAATCTGGGCCTCTTCAGTCACTTTTGACTGAAAAAAATGGACATTTTGAAATTAAAACAATTGTAGCTTCGTTGGAATGAG